AGGTGCTTATAGACACAAACGCAGAAAACATAGTGGCTTCGGCGACAGACTTTGCCAACATAACTATTGGACCCACATGGTCGATGAAAAAGGTTGAACAGTGCATAAACCAATGAAATCTGGTGTTTGGAGCAGGAGTTGAACCAGCGACCTTTGGACCACAGCCTTTCAGGAACTTCTTAAAGTCATGTGCTCTACCAACTGAGCTATGAAGGTGCTTACAGAGACAAACGCAGAAAACATAGTGGCTTCGGCGACAGACTTTGCCAACAATACAATTGGACCCACATGGTCAATGAAAAAGATTGAACAGTGCATAGACCAATGAAATCTGGTGTTTGGAGCAGGAGTTGAACCAGCGACCTTTGGACCACAGCCTTTCAGGAACTTCTTAAAGTCATGTGCTCTACCAACTGAGCTATGAAGGTGCTTATAGACACAAACGCAGAAAACATAGTGGCTTCGGCGACAGATTTTGCCAACAATACTATTGGACCCACATGGTCAATGAAAAAGATTGAACAGTGCATAGACCAATGAAATCTGGTGTTTGGAGCAGGAGTTGAACCAGCGACCTTTGGACCACAGCCTTTCAGGAACTTCTTAAAGTCATGTGCTCTACCAACTGAGCTATGAAGGTGCTTATAGACACAAACGCAGAAAACATAGTGGCTTCGGCGACACACTTTGCCAACATAACTATTGGACCCACATGGTCGATGAAAAAGGTTGAACAGTGCATAAACCAATGAAATCTGGTGTTTGGAGCAGGAGTTGAACCAGCGACCTTTGGACCACAGCCTTTCAGGAACTTCTTAAAGTCATGTGCTCTACCAACTGAGCTATGAAGGTGCTTATAGACACAAACGCAGAAAACATAGTGGCTTCGGCGACAGACTTTGCCAACAATACAATTGGACCCACATGGTCAATGAAAAAGATTGAACAGTGCATAGACCAATGAAATCTGGTGTTTGGAGCAGGAGTTGAACCAGCGACCTTTGGACCACAGCCTTTCAGGAACTTCTTAAAGTCATGTGCTCTACCAACTGAGCTATGAAGGTGCTTATAGACACAAACGCAGAAAACATAGTGGCTTCGGCGACAGACTTTGCCAACAATACAATTGGACCCACATGGTCAATGAAAAAGGTTGAACAGTGCATACACCAATGAAATCTGGTGTTTGGAGCAGGAATTGAACCAGCGACATTTGGACCACAGCCTTTCAGGAACTTCTTAAAGTCATGTGCTCTACCAACTGAGCTATGAAGGTGCTTAAAGACACAAACGCAGAAAACATAGTGGCTTCGGCGACACACTTTGCCAACATAACTATTGGACCCACATGGTCGATGGAAAAGGTTGAACAGTGCATACACCAATGAAATCTGGTGTTTGGAGCAGGAGTTGAACCAGCGACCTTTGGACCACAGCCTTTCAGGAACTTCTTAAAGTCATGTGCTCTACCAACTGAGCTATGAAGGTGCTTACAGAGACAAACGCAGAAAACATAGTGGCTTCGGCGACAGACTTTGCCAACAATACAATTGGACCCACATGGTCAATGAAAAAGATTGAACAGTGCATAGACCAATGAAATCTGGTGTTTGGAGCAGGAGTTGAACCAGCGACCTTTGGACCACAGCCTTTCAGGAACTTCTTAAAGTCATGTGCTCTACCAACTGAGCTATGAAGGTGCTTATAGACACAAACGCAGAAAACATAGTGGCTTCGGCGACAGATTTTGCCAACAATACTATTGGACCCACATGGTCAATGAAAAAGATTGAACAGTGCATAGACCAATGAAATCTGGTGTTTGGAGCAGGAGTTGAAACAGCGACCTTTGGACCACAGCCTTTCAGGAACTTCTTAAAGTCATGTGCTCTACCAACTGAGCTATGAAGGTGCTTATAGACACAAACGCAGAAAACATAGTGGCTTCGGCGACACACTTTGCCAACATAACTATTGGACCCACATGGTCGATGAAAAAAGTTGAACAGTGCATACACCAATGAAATCTGGGGTTTGGAGCAGGAGTTGAACCAGCGACCTTTGGACCACAGCCTTTCAGGAACTTCTTAAAGTCATGTGCTCTACCAACTGAGCTATGAAGGTGCTTATAGACACAAACGCAGAAAACATAGTGGCTTCGGCGACACACTTTGCCAACATAACTATTGGACCCACATGGTCGATGAAAAAGGTTGAACAGTGCATACAACAATGAAATCTGGTGTTTGGAGCAGGGGTTGAACCAGCGACCTTTGGACCACAGCCTTTCAGGAACTTCTTAAAGTCATGTGCTCTACCAACTGAGCTATGAAGGTGCTTATAGACACAAACGCAGAAAACATAGTGGCTTCGGCGACACACTTTGCCAACATAACTATTGGACCCACATGGTCGATGAAAAAAGTTGAACAGTGCATACACCAATGAAATCTGGTGTTTGGAGCAGGAGCTGAACCAGCGACCTTTGGACCACAGCCTTTCAGGAACTTCTTAAAGTCATGTGCTCTACCAACTGAGCTATGAAGGTGCTTGTAGACACAAACGCAGAAAACATAGTGGCTTCGGCGACAGACTTTGCCAACAATACAATTGGACCCACATGGTCAATGAAAAAGATTGAACAGTGCATAGACCAATGAAATCTGGTGTTTGGAGCAGGAGTTGAACCAGCGACCTTTGGAACACAGCCTTTCAGGAACTTCTTAAAGTCATGTGCTCTACCAACTGAGCTATGAAGGTGCTTATAGACACAAACGCAGAAAACATAGTGGCTTCAGCGACACACCTTGCCAACATAACTATTGGACCCACATGGTCGATGAAGAAGGTTGAACAGTGCATACACCAACGAAATCTGGTGTTTGGAGCAGGAGTTGAACCAGCGACCTTTGGACCACAGCCTTTCAGGAACTTCTTAAAGTCATGTGCTGTACCAACTCAGCTATGAAGGTGCTTATAGACACAAACGCAGAAAACATAGTGGCTTCGGCGACAGACTTTGCCAACAATACAATTGGACCCACATGGTCAATGAAAAAGATTGAACAGTGCATACACGAATGAAATCTGGTGTTTGGAGCAGGAGTTGAACCAGCGACCTTTGGACCACAGCCTTTCAGGAACTTCTTAAAGTCATGTGCTCTACCAACTGAGCTATGAAGGTGCTTATAGACAAAACGCAGAAAACATAGTGGCTTCGGCGACACACTTTGCCAACATAACTATTGGACCCACATGGTCGATGAAAAAGGTTGAACAGTGCATAGACCAATGAAATCTGGTGTTTGGAGCAGGAGTTGAACCAGCGACCTTTGGACCACAGCCTTTCAGGAACTTCTTAAAGTCATGTGCTCTACCAACTGAGCTATGAAGGTGCTTATAGACACAAACGCAGAAAACATAGTGGCTTCGGCGACAGACTTTGCCAACAATACAATTGGACCCACATGGTCAATGAAAAAGATTGAACAGTGCATAGACCAATGAAATCTGGTGTTTGGAGCAGGAGTTGAACCAGCGACCTTTGGACCACAGCCTTTCAGGAACTTCTTAAAGTCATGTGCTCTACCAACTGAGCTATGAAGGTGCTTATAGACACAAACGCAGAAAACATAGTGGCTTCGGCGACACACTTTGCCAACATAACTATTGGACCCACATGGTCGATGAAAAAGGTTGAACAGTGCATAAACCAATGAAATCTGGTGTTTGGAGCAGGAGTTGAACCAGCGACCTTTGGACCACAGCCTTTCAGGAACTTCTTAAAGTCATGTGCTCTACCAACTGAGCTATGAAGGTGCTTATAGACACAAACGCAGAAAACATAGTGGCTTCGGCGACAGACTTTGCCAACAATACAATTGGACCCACATGGTCAATGAAAAAGATTGAACAGTGCATAGACCAATGAAATCTGGTGTTTGGAGCAGGAGTTGAACCAGCGACCTTTGGACCACAGCCTTTCAGGAACTTCTTAAAGTCATGTGCTCTACCAACTGAGCTATGAAGGTGCTTATAGACACAAACGCAGAAAACATAGTGGCTTCGGCGACAGACTAGGCCAACAATACAATTGGACCCACATGGTCAATGAAAAAGATTGAACAGTGCATAGAGCAATGAAATCTGGTGTTTGGAGCAGGAGTTGAACCAGCGACCTTTGGACCACAGCCTTTCAGGAACTTCTTAAAGTCATGTGCTCTACCAACTGAGCTATGAAGGTGCTTATAGACACAAACGCAGAAAACATAGTGGCTTCGGCGACAGATTTTGCCAACAATACAATTGGACCCACATGGTCAATGAAAAAGATTGAACAGTGCATAGACTAATGAAATCTGGTGTTTGGAGCAGGAGTTGAACCAGCGACCTTTGAACCACAGCCTTTTAGGAACTTCTTAAAGTCATGTGCTCTACCAACTGAGCTATGAAGGTGCTTATAGACACAAACGCAGAAAACATAGTGGCTTCGGCGACAGACTTTGCCAACAATACAATTGGACCCACATGGTCAATGAAAAAGATTGAACAGTGCATAGACCAATGAAATCTGGTGTTTGGAGCAGGAGTTGAACCAGCGACCTTTGGACGACAGCCTTTCAGGAACTTCTTAAAGTCATGTGCTCTACCAACTGAGCTATGAAGGTGCTTATAGACACAAACGCAGAAAACATAGTGGCTTCGGCGACACACTTTGCCAACATAACTATTGGACCCACATGGTCGATGAAAAAGGTTGAACAGTGCATACACCAATGAAATCTGGTGTTTGGAGCAGGAGTTAAACCAGCGACCTTTGGACCACAGCCTTTCAGGAACTTCTTAAAGTCATGTGCTGTACCAACTGAGCTATGAAGGTGCTTACAGACACAAACGCAGAAAACATAGTGGCTTCGGCGACAGACTTTGCCAACAATACAATTGGACCCACATGGTCAATGAAAAAGATTGAACAGTGCATAGAGCAATGAAATCTGGTGTTTGGAGCAGGAGTTGAACCAGCGACCTTTGGACCACAGCCTTTTAGGAACTTCTTAAAGTCATGTGCTCTACCAACTGAGCTATGAAGGTGCTTATAGACACAAACGCAGAAAACATAGTGGCTTCGGCGACAGACTTTGCCAACAATACAATTGGACCCACATGGTCAATGAAAAAGATTGAACAGTGCATAGACCAATGAAATCTGGTGTTTGGAGCAGGAGTTGAACCAGCGACCTTTGGACGACAGCCTTTCAGGAACTTCTTAAAGTCATGTGCTCTACCAACTGAGCTATGAAGGTGCTTATAGACACAAACGCAGAAAACATAGTGGCTTCGGCGACACACTTTGCCAACATAACTATTGGACCCACATGGTCGATGAAAAAGGTTGAACAGTGCATACACCAATGAAATCTGGTGTTTGGAGCAGGAGTTGAACCAGCGACCTTTGGACCACAGCCTTTCAGGAACTTCTTAAAGTCATGTGCTGTACCAACTGAGCTATGAAGGTGCTTACAGACACAAACGCAGAAAACATAGTGGCTTCGGCGACAGACTTTGCCAACAATACAATTGGACCCACATGGTCAATGAAAAAGATTGAACAGTGCATAGAGCAATGAAATCTGGTGTTTGGAGCAGGAGTTGAACCAGCGACCTTTGGACCACAGCCTTTCAGGAACTTCTTAAAGTCATGTGCTCTACCAACTGAGCTATGAAGGTGCTTACAGACACAAACGCAGAAAACATAGTGGCTTCGGCGACAGACTTTGCCAACAATACAATTGGACCCACATGGTCAATGAAAAAGATTGAACAGTGCATAGAGCAATGAAATCTGGTGTTTGGAGCAGGAGTTGAACCAGCGACCTTTGGACCACAGCCTTTCAGGAACTTCTTAAAGTCATGTGCTCTACCCACTGAGCTATGAAGGTGCTTATAGACACAAACGCAGAAAACATAGTGGCTTCGGCGACAGACTTTGCCAACAATACAATTGGACCCACATGGTCAATGAAAAAGATTGAACAGTGCATAGAGCAATGAAATCTGGTGTTTGGAGCAGGAGTTGAACCAGCGACCTTTGGACCACAGCCTTTGAGGAACTTCTTAAAGTAATGTGCTCTACCAACTGAGCTATGAAGGTGCTTATAGACACAAACGCAGAAAACATAGTGGCTTCGGCGACACACTTTGCCAACATAACTATTGGACCCACATGGTCGATGAAAAAGGTTGAACAGTGCATAGACCAATGAAATCTGGTGTTTGGAGCAGGAGTTGAACCAGCGACCTTTGGACCACAGCCTTTCAGGAACTTCTTAAAGTCATGTGCTCTACCAACTGAGCTATGAAGGTGCTTATAGACACAAACGCAGAAAACATAGTGGCTTCGGCGACAGATTTTGCCAACAATACAATTGGACCCACATGGTCAATGAAAAAGATTGAACAGTGCATAGACCAATGAAATCTGGTGTTTGGAGCAGGAGTTGAACCAGCGACCTTTGGACCACAGCCTTTCAGGAACTTCTTAAAGTCATGTGCTCTACCAACTGAGCTATGAAGGTGCTTATAGACACAAACGCAGAAAAGATAGTGGCTTCGGCGACAGATTTTGCCAACAATACTATTGGACCCACATGGTCAATGAAAAAGATTGAACAGTGCATAGACCAATGAAATCTGGTGTTTGGAGCAGGAGTTGAACCAGCGACCTTTGGACCACAGCCTTTCAGGAACTTCTTAAAGTCATGTGCTCTACCAACTGAGCTATGAAGGTGCTTATAGACACAAACGCAGAAAACATAGTGGCTTCGGCGACAGACTTTGCCAACAATACAATTGGACCCACATGGTCAATGAAAAAGATTGAACAGTGCATAGAGCAATGAAATCTGGTGTTTGGAGCAGGAGTTGAACCAGCGACCTTTGGACCACAGCCTTTCAGGAACTTCTTAGAGTCATGTGCTCTACCAACTGAGCTATGAAGGTGCTTATAGACACAAACGCAGAAAACATAGTGGCTTCGGCGACACACTTTGCCAACATAACTATTGGACCCACATGGTCAATGAAAAAGATTGAACAGTGGATACACCAATGAAATCTGGTGTTTGGAGCAGGAGTTGAACCAGCGACCTTTGGACCACAGCCTTTCAGGAACTTCTTAAAGTCATGTGCTCTACCCACTGAGCTATGAAGGTGCTTATAGACACAAACGCAGAAAACATAGTGGCTTCGTCGACAGATTTTGCCAACAATACAATTGGACCCACATGGTCAATGAAAAAGGTTGAACAGTGCATAGACCAATGAAATCTGGTGTTTGGAGCAGGAGTTGAACCAGCGACCTTTGGACCACAGCCTTTCAGGAACTTCTTAAAGTCATGTGCTCTACCAACTGAGCTATGAAGGTGCTTATAGACACAAACGCAGAAAAGATAGTGGCTTCGGCGACAGATTTTGCCAACAATACTATTGGACCCACATGGTCAATGAAAAAGATTGAACAGTGCATAGACCAATGAAATCTGGTGTTTGGAGCAGGAGTTGAACCAGCGACCTTTGGACCACAGGCTTTCAGGAACTTCTTAAAGTCACGTGCTCTACCAACTGAGCTATGAAGGTGCTTATAGACACAAACGCAGAAAACATAGTGGCTTCGGCGACAGACTTTGCCAACAATACAATTGGACCCACATGGTCAATGAAAAAGATTGAACAGTGCATAGACCAATGAAATCTGGTGTTTGGAGCAGGAGTTGAACCAGCGACCTTTGGACCACAGCCTTTCAGGAACTTCTTAAAGTCATGTGCTCTACCAACTGAGCTATGAAGGTGCTTATAGACACAAACGCAGAAAACATAGTGGCTTCGGCGACACACTTTGCCAACATAACTATTGGACCCACATGGTCGATGAAAAAGGTTGAACAGTGCATACAACAATGAAATCTGGTGTTTGGAGCAGGAGTTGAACCAGCGACCTTTGGACCACAGCCTTTCAGGAACTTCTTAATGTCATGTGCTCTACCAACTGAGCTATGAAGGTGCTTATAGACACAAACGCAGAAAACATAGTGGCTTCGGCGACAGACTTTGCCAACAATACAATTGGACCCACATGGTCAATGAAAAAGATTGAACAGTGCATAGACCAATGAAATCTGGTGTTTGGAGCTGGAGTTGAACCAGCGACCTTTGGACCACAGCCTTTCAGGAACTTCTTGAAGTCATGTGCTCTACCAACTGAGCTATGAAGGTGCTTATAGACACAAACGCAGAAAACATAGTGGCTTCGGCGACAGACTTTGCCAACATAACTATTGGACCCACATGGTCGATGAAAAAGGTTGAACAGCGCATACACCAATGAAATCTGGTGTTTGGAGCAGGAGTTGAACCAGCGACCTTTGGACCACAGCCTTTCAGGAACTTCTTAAAGTCATGTGCTCTACCAACTGAGCTATGAAGGTGCTTATAGACACAAACGCAGAAAACATAGTGGCTTCGGCGACAGATTTTGCCAACAATACTATTGGACCCACATGGTCAATGAAAAAGATTGAACAGTGCATAGACCAATGAAATCTGGTGTTTGGAGCAGGAGTTCAACCAGCGACCTTTGGACCACAGCCTTTCAGGAACTTCTTAAAGTCATGTGCTCTACCAACTGAGCTATGAAGGTGCTTATAGACACAAACGCAGAAAACATAGTGGCTTCGGCGACAGACTTTGCCAACAATACAATTGGACCCACATGGTCAATGAAAAAGATTGAACAGTGCATAGAGCAATGAAATCTGGTGTTTGGAGCAGGAGTTGAACCAGCGACCTTTGGACCACAGCCTTTGAGGAACTTCTTAAAGTAATGTGCTCTACCAACTGAGCTATGAAGGTGCTTATAGACACAAACGCAGAAAACATAGTGGCTTCGGCGACACACTTTGCCAACATAACTATTGGACCCACATGGTCGATGAAAAAGGTTGAACAGTGCATAGACCAATGAAATCTGGTGTTTGGAGCAGGAGTTGAACCAGCGACCTTTGGACCACAGCCTTTCAGGAACTTCTTAAAGTCATGTGCTCTACCAACTGAGCTATGAAGGTGCTTATAGACACAAACGCAGAAAACATAGTGGCTTCGGCGACAGATTTTGCCAACAATACAATTGGACCCACATGGTCAATGAAAAAGATTGAACAGTGCATAGACCAATGAAATCTGGTGTTTGGAGCAGGAGTTGAACCAGCGACCTTTGGACCACAGCCTTTCAGGAACTTCTTAAAGTCATGTGCTCTACCAACTGAGCTATGAAGGTGCTTATAGACACAAACGCAGAAAAGATAGTGGCTTCGGCGACAGATTTTGCCAACAATACTATTGGACCCACATGGTCAATGAAAAAGATTGAACAGTGCATAGACCAATGAAATCTGGTGTTTGGAGCAGGAGTTGAACCAGCGACCTTTGGACCACAGCCTTTCAGGAACTTCTTAAAGTCATGTGCTCTACCAACTGAGCTATGAAGGTGCTTATAGACACAAACGCAGAAAACATAGTGGCTTCGGCGACAGACTTTGCCAACAATACAATTGGACCCACATGGTCAATGAAAAAGATTGAACAGTGCATAGAGCAATGAAATCTGGTGTTTGGAGCAGGAGTTGAACCAGCGACCTTTGGACCACAGCCTTTCAGGAACTTCTTAGAGTCATGTGCTCTACCAACTGAGCTATGAAGGTGCTTATAGACACAAACGCAGAAAACATAGTGGCTTCGGCGACACACTTTGCCAACATAACTATTGGACCCACATGGTCAATGAAAAAGATTGAACAGTGGATACACCAATGAAATCTGGTGTTTGGAGCAGGAGTTGAACCAGCGACCTTTGGACCACAGCCTTTCAGGAACTTCTTAAAGTCATGTGCTCTACCCACTGAGCTATGAAGGTGCTTATAGACACAAACGCAGAAAACATAGTGGCTTCGTCGACAGATTTTGCCAACAATACAATTGGACCCACATGGTCAATGAAAAAGGTTGAACAGTGCATAGACCAATGAAATCTGGTGTTTGGAGCAGGAGTTGAACCAGCGACCTTTGGACCACAGCCTTTCAGGAACTTCTTAAAGTCATGTGCTCTACCAACTGAGCTATGAAGGTGCTTATAGACACAAACGCAGAAAAGATAGTGGCTTCGGCGACAGATTTTGCCAACAATACTATTGGACCCACATGGTCAATGAAAAAGATTGAACAGTGCATAGACCAATGAAATCTGGTGTTTGGAGCAGGAGTTGAACCAGCGACCTTTGGACCACAGGCTTTCAGGAACTTCTTAAAGTCACGTGCTCTACCAACTGAGCTATGAAGGTGCTTATAGACACAAACGCAGAAAACATAGTGGCTTCGGCGACAGACTTTGCCAACAATACAATTGGACCCACATGGTCAATGAAAAAGATTGAACAGTGCATAGACCAATGAAATCTGGTGTTTGGAGCAGGAGTTGAACCAGCGACCTTTGGACCACAGCCTTTCAGGAACTTCTTAAAGTCATGTGCTCTACCAACTGAGCTATGAAGGTGCTTATAGACACAAACGCAGAAAACATAGTGGCTTCGGCGACACACTTTGCCAACATAACTATTGGACCCACATGGTCGATGAAAAAGGTTGAACAGTGCATACAACAATGAAATCTGGTGTTTGGAGCAGGAGTTGAACCAGCGACCTTTGGACCACAGCCTTTCAGGAACTTCTTAATGTCATGTGCTCTACCAACTGAGCTATGAAGGTGCTTATAGACACAAACGCAGAAAACATAGTGGCTTCGGCGACAGACTTTGCCAACAATACAATTGGACCCACATGGTCAATGAAAAAGATTGAACAGTGCATAGACCAATGAAATCTGGTGTTTGGAGCTGGAGTTGAACCAGCGACCTTTGGACCACAGCCTTTCAGGAACTTCTTGAAGTCATGTGCTCTACCAACTGAGCTATGAAGGTGCTTATAGACACAAACGCAGAAAACATAGTGGCTTCGGCGACAGACTTTGCCAACATAACTATTGGACCCACATGGTCGATGAAAAAGGTTGAACAGCGCATACACCAATGAAATCTGGTGTTTGGAGCAGGAGTTGAACCAGCGACCTTTGGACCACAGCCTTTCAGGAACTTCTTAAAGTCATGTGCTCTACCAACTGAGCTATGAAGGTGCTTATAGACACAAACGCAGAAAACATAGTGGCTTCGGCGACAGATTTTGCCAACAATACTATTGGACCCACATGGTCAATGAAAAAGATTGAACAGTGCATAGACCAATGAAATCTGGTGTTTGGAGCAGGAGTTCAACCAGCGACCTTTGGACCACAGCCTTTCAGGAACTTCTTAAAGTCATGTGCTCTACCAACTGAGCTATGAAGGTGCTTATAGACACAAACGCAGAAAACATAGTGGCTTCGGCGACAGACTTTGCCAACAATACAATTGGACCCACATGGTCAATGAAAAAGATTGAACAGTGCATAGACCAATGAAATCTGGTGTTTGGAGCAGGAGTTGAACCAGCGACCTTTGGACCACAGCCTTTCAGGAACTTCTTAAAGTCATGTGCTCTACCAACTGAGCTATGAAGGTGCTTATAGACACAAACGCAGAAAACATAGTGGCTTCGGCGACAGATTTTGCCAACAATACAATTGGACCCACATGGTCAATGAAAAAGATTGAACAGTGCATACACCAATGAAATCTGGTGTTTGGAGCAGGAGTTGAACCAGCGACCTTTGGACCACAGCCTTTCAGGAACTTCTTAAAGTCATGTGCTCTACCAACTGAGCTATGAAGGTGCTTATAGACACAAACGCAGAAAACATAGTGGCTTCGGCGACACACTTTGCCAACATAACTATTGGACCCACATGGTCGATGAAAAATGTTGAACAGTGCATAGACCAATGAAATCTGGTGTTTGGAGCAGGAGTTGAACCAGCGACCTTTGGACCACAGCCTTTCAGGAACTTCTTAAAGTCATGTGCTCTACCAACTGAGCTATGAAGGTGCTTATAGACACAAACGCAGAAAACATAGTGGCTTCGGCGACAGATTTTGCCAACAATACAATTGGACCCACATGGTCGATGAAAAAGATTGAACAGTGCATATACCAATGAAATCTGGTGTTTGGATTAGGAGTTGAACCAGCGACCTTTGGACCACAGCCTTTCAGGAACTTCTTAAAGTCATGTGCTCTACCAACTGAGCTATGAAGGTGCTTATAGACACAAACGCAGAAAACATAGTGGCTTCGGCGACACACTTTGCCAACATAACTATTGGACCCACATGGTCGATGAAAAATGTTGAACAGTGCATACACCAATGAAATCTGGTGTTTGGAGCAGGAGTTGAACCAGCGACCCTTGGACCACAGCCTTTCAGGAACTTCTTAAAGTCATGTGCTCTACCAACTGAGCTATGAAGGTGCTTATAGACACAAACGCAGAAAACATAGTGGCTTCGGCGAACAGACTTTGCCAACAATACAATTGGACCCACATGGTCAATGAAAAAGATTGAACAGTGCATACACCAATGAAATCTGGTGTTTGGAGCAGGAGTTGAACCAGCGACCTTTGGACCACAGCCTTTCAGGAACTTCTTAAAGTCATGTGCTCTACCAACTGAGCTATGAAGGTGCTTATAGACACAAACGCAGAAAACATAGTGGCTTCGGCGACAGATTTTGCCAACAATACAATTGGACCCACATGGTCAATGAAAAAGATTGAACAGTGCATAGACGAATGAAATCTGGTGTTTGGAGCAGGAGTTGAACCAGCGACCTTTGGACCACAGCCTTTCAGGAACTTCTTAAAGTCATGTGCTCTACCAACTGAGCTATGAAGGTGCTTATAGACACAAACGCAGAAAACATAGTGGCTTCGGCGACACACTTTGCCAACATAACTATTGGACCCACATGGACGATGAAAAATGTTGAACAGTGCATAGACCAATGAAATCTGGTGTTTGGAGCAGGAGTTGAACCAGCGACCTTTGGACCACAGCCTTTCAGGAACTTCTTAAAGTCATGTGCTCTACCAACTGAGCTATGAAGGTGCTTATAGACACAAACGCAGAAAACATAGTGGCTTCGGCGACAGACTTTGCCAACAATACAATTGGACCCACATGGTCAATGAAAAAGATTGAACAGTGCATAGACCAATGAAATCTGGTGTTTGGGGCAGGAGTTGAACCAGCGACCTTTGGACCACAGCCTTTCAGGAACTTCTTAAAGTCATGTGCTCTACCAACTGAGCTATGAAGGTGCTTATAGACACAAACGCAGAAAACATAGTGGCTTCGGCGACAGACTTTGCCAACAATACAATTGGACCCACATGGTCAATGAAAAAGATTGAACAGTGCATAGAGCAATGAAATCTGGTGTTTGGAGCAGGAGTTGAACCAGCGACCTTTGGACCACAGCCTTTCAGGAACTTCTAAAAGTCATGTGCTCTACCAACTGAGCTATGAAGGTGCTTATAGACACAAACGCAGAAAACATAGTGGCTTCGGCGACAGACTTTGCCAACAATACAATTGGACCCACATGGTCAATGAAAAAGATTGAACAGTGCATAGACCAATGAAATCTGGTGTTTGGAGCAGGAGTTGAACCAGCGACCTTTGGACCACAGCCTTTCAGGAACTTCTTAAAGTCATGTGCTCTACCAACTGAGCTATGAAGGTGCTTATAGACACAAACGCAGAAAACATAGTGGCTTCGGCGACACACTTTGCCAACATAACTATTGGACCCACATGGTCGATGAAAAAGGTTGAACAGTGCATACACCAATGAAATATGGTGTTTGGAGCAGGAGTTGAACCAGCGACCTTTGGACGACAGCCTTTCAGGAACTTCTTAAAGTCATGTGCTCTACCAACTGAGCTATGAAGGTGCTTACAGACACAAACGCAGAAAACATAGTGGCTTCGGCGACAGACTTTGCCAACAATACAATTGGACCCACATGGTCAATGAAAAAGATTGAACAGTGCATAGACCAATGAAATCTGGTGTTTGGAGCAGGAGTTGAACCAGCGACCTTTGGACCACAGCCTTTCAGGAACTTCTTAAAGTCATGTGCTCTACCAACTGAGCTATGAAGGTGCTTATAGACACAAACGCAGAAAACATAGTGGCTTCTGCGACAGATTTTGCCAACAATACAATTGGACCCACATGGTCAATGAAAAAGATTGAACAGTGCATAGACCAATGAAATCTGGTGTTTGGAGCAGGAGTTGAACCAGCGACCTTTGGACCACAGCCTTTCAGGAACTTCTTAAAGTCATGTGCTCTACCAACTGAGCTATGAAGGTGCTTATAGACACAAACGCAGAAAACATAGTGGCTTCGGCGACAGACTTTGCCAACAATACAATTGGACCCACATGGTCAATGAAAAAGATTGAACAGTGCATAGACCAATGAAATCTGGTGTTTGGAGCAGGAGTTGAACCAGCGACCTTTGGACCACAGCCTTTCAGGAACTTCTTAAAGTCATGTGCTCTACCAACTGAGCTATGAAGGTGCTTATAGACACAAACGCAGAAAACATAGTGGCTTCGGCGACAGACTATGCCAACAATACAATTGGACCCACATGGTCAATGAAAAAGATTGAACAGTGCATAGACCAATGAAATCTGGTGTTTGGAGCAGGAGTTGAACCAGCGACCTTTGGACCACAGCGTTTCAGGAACTTCTTAAAGTCATGTGCTCTACCAACTGAGCTATGAAGGTGCTTATAGACACAAACGCAGAAAACATAGTGGCTTCGGCGACACACTTTGCCAACATAACTATTGGACCCACATGGTCGATGAAAAAGGTTGAACAGTGCATACAACAATGAAATCTGGTGTTTGGAGCAGGAGTTGAACCAGCGACCTTTGGACCACAGCCTTTCAGGAACTTCTTAAAGTCATGTGCTCTACCAACTGAGCTATGAAGGTGCTTATAGACACAAACGCAGAAAACATAGTGGCTTCGGCGACAGATTTTGCCAACAATACTATTGGACCCACATGGTCAATGAAAAAGATTGAACAGTGCATAGACCAATGAAATCTGGTGTTTGGAGCAGGAGTTGAACCAGCGACCTTTGGACCACAGCCTTTCAGGAACTTCTTAAAGTCATGTGCTCTACCAACTGAGCTATGAAGGTGCTTATAGACACAAACGCAGAAAACATAGTGGCTTCGGCGAAAGACTTTGCCAACAATACAATTGGACCCA